CTCGGGTGCCTCTGAGATTACAAGGGGCGTAGCAGTAGTAGGTTTACATGAGCAATAGTGGCCGGCAACAGCAATGACAAATAGCATTCGTGGTCCCCAATGAACAGATTATGGCATTTGTTATGTTTTGAAACCAAGCAAGTGAGAACATTTCAAGTGAGTTAAAGTGCAATCCTGAAATATTTCATATAGTCCAAAGTGGACTATGGCAAAGAAAAGCACAAAAGCTTAAAAACTGTACTGATAAAACAAATGAGAACATATTGTAAATCAAGGCAAATGTTATTTAAACCAGCTCATGGTTTGAAATGGCAAACATTGAAAAGCAAAAGCATAATTAAAACCATGTACTACATCATCACCTTGGTCCCATCATATACTCTGGGAAGAGAACATCAAGCTGCGTTCAGACAAACTGCACAACATACAAAAAGCCCTTTCATATAGGGCAACACTCCTGCAATGCTAATCATGATGTATAATGCATTATGTCGCTGTACACTAACCTGTGTTTTTGTAAATTTTAAATCAAAGACAAACCGGGTCCATAACGTGACTGATTGCTAAGTAGCCATTGACTGCTCCTGATTAGCATTAATGCCGCCTGCGGCTAGGACAAATCCAGCTAACAACAGAGACACCACATCCATAATCTGCCCATTTGTACCACAGCAACACAGGCGATGACTAATGAAATGACTGGGACTAAAGGCATCCTCCCACCCAGGAGTCATGTTAGTAAGGTGGTGCCGCTTTAAGGACACTGAAGAGTGGGCAGATGCTGCAGTGAGCGCCATGCAACGCTGCTTTATTACATTACTACTTATGTATCAGGGAAGATGGGAGGAGGGGGGACAGAGGGAGAGACAAGAGCAGGCCACAATACGTAAGCTGTTTTAAATGACTTCAAAAGAGGATTCAACAACAAAGCATGTAAACATGTCACAGTAGGAGCAGAACATACTGTACAAATATGAACCTGGAAATGAGCAGAATAGGGCCCCTTCAATGGAAATGGAATTAAATTGAGGGATGCAAATTCATGTTTGAAAAAATAAACATGAATTTGTTTTTAGAAACTCTGGTAGAGTTTGCAAAGGTAGATGAAAGCACGGCTATGTCTAAAATAGACAGAACGAGACATTTAAATGCAAAAGCTACAACAACCTTTAGTACGAGGTTTCAACCCTATAGCTTATCTGAAGTGTCGAAAAGTTGAGCGACAAAAAAAGATAGCTCTAAGTAAGAACCTGTTTGAAAAAGCAGGATTTCAAAACAGGGGCCCCCCATCATAAAACCTGGTTATCATTAGCTTCACAGGGGGGCCAATTTTGAGTATTCTGTCACCAAATCGCAACGACAAATCCTCCTCATTGTGTCTTTAATCACCCTTTTAATTTGAAGGAACTACATATAAGTTTCTAAATTGCTGGAGCACATTAATTAAACACACCGTATCTCATAAAAATAAACTCAATCTGCCATTATTTGTTATTCAGTGTGACAGTGCAGTCAAAAGCCTCTGGGGCAGTGACAGTCACACTGGTAGGGTGGGGGTGAAGCGGAGGACTGACAGCTGACCTCCCAACACACTGCTTCTCAAAAACACACACATTGGGTATCAAGGCCCAAACACACCGAGAGCATCTGATGCACACATTTTGATATACGCTTATTGTTTTAAATGAAGGAGCATTACGAGGCGCATACTCTGGCCTTGTTTCATGAACGTGTGTGAAGGATTAAATTCTCCAACATTTATTTGAGCTTTCCCGTGAAGATTCATAACACTCAGAGACACAGCGCCCACCTCTCTCCTATATCTGTCACCGCCTTTATCTGTGGGACTCGGATGAAGACAATTCAATTATCTGTAAAGAAATAAATAAAAACAACACAACGTTCTCCGAGCTGTTTAGTCAGGATCACACAGGTTTAATTGTTGTTGCCTTCAGCTTTTACCCACACAATTAAGCTTTTAAAAGTGAACCGTGGAGTTGTCACTGAATAAAAGTGACAGGCAGAGTGGGAGATGGCTTTGTTTGTCCCTTTAAATAAAAGCACATACCATCATTTGTGTGCAGGGTTTGAAGAAGTTTAAGAGCTGATAAACCCAACACTGATTCTCAACACACTCCCCTTTATTCAGGAGAACTTAGCCTAGAAAAGCCTATGCCTATGATTCAATATGTTCCTGTGCAGTGAGGCGGTGACAACATGAATATTTTACACTGTGTTCAGAGTGAATGTAGGTGAAGTCTTATGTCAGTGTCTCTGGCTGAGGATGTTTTTAAGCAATGCGTAAGTCAGTCTCAACTCAAATATATCACAATTATTTCATCGATTACTGCAAAAGTTTGTAAAATGACTGCTCAGATTGCATACACACAAAGATAGATTCTGAAAAAAGCATTCTAATGTCTCATTTGTATTTCAAAACTGTCCCTGATTCCTGATCAAATCCGCTTAGAAAAGAGTTTGTACGCCATACCGGATCCTTTACACTTCTTTAATGTCTAAAGGTGTGTGTGTGTGTGTGTGTGTGTGTTTGTGGACGAGGGTGAATCATACCTCCAACCCCCTCGGTGTCTGTGGAGGTTCCTCCTGTTATTAGTCACTGCTACTGGCTGATACAAGAAGCCAGACATAAAACACAGAGTGATGGTGAGTCACGGCTCGGCTCTGTCTTATTAGGGAGATCCTGCTCTGAATCTGTGGCTCCCACTTGTGAGGAGACATTTGAAAACAAGTTTTCTCGTTCACTTTAAAAAAAAGAGTTCTAAAAAGTGGAGATAACATTGTGGTTAAATTTAATGCAACAAACAACTTTTTTAGACAACAATTTTAATTATTTTGGACAAATCACATGGAATCAGGTGGCGCCGGGAAAAAAACATTAGGATTTAGCATGTAACATATAATATTTAAAAATAAAATGTTCCCCCTATATATTTCTTCTGGATGCATTCATTTAAAATGGTTGATTTGGAAGCCAGAATTTGTTTTTCTAAACTAAATATTTTTTATTTTTGCCAAATTCTAAGCAAATTATTATTGAAATACATATTATTATTAAATGATTTAGTATTTCTCCACTAGAATTACATCATGGCAGCATTTTTTTTACAAAAGCAATTATATTTATCTTTCCAACAGAAAACAGATTTCACTTCAGAGCAGAGAAACAAAGATAATTGCTCAAATAATCTGGGCATCATGAGTTTATCCTCCTGAGGTTATTTCTGAAGATCAACCTGGGTTTATCAAGCTCTGCCATTCATTTCCCATAATCCACTTCTATCAGTCATACAGTGCAGCCTTTCATTCCTGCAGGAATTGCCATGTCTTCAAAACAGACAGGGAAGGATAATTATTTAAGGTTTATGAGATTTTCCTTTTGGTATATTGGAACTTAAATGTGAGTTATTCGTGTGAATTTCAATGAAAATGATGTTAGCTCTGAATAGGCAATATATCCTGCGCACTTTTAATTAGCAAGAATATGAAAAGCTAACTTCCCCGAATAAATTATTTGATTCAAGATTGACCTAAACATATTGCCATGCCAAACTGACACATATAGTGGCTTTGTAATTTGACAAAGCCACTATACAAGCCACTATACCACCCACACACAGAGAGTGGTGTCAGTCTGCTGCTGCTGATAGACAGCATGCGGTTTCTCCTCAGCACTAATCTGTCGCACACGTGGAGACAAAGCCACAACATGTCTCTGGTAGGAAGTACGATTGCAGAGAGAAGCCCTACGACTTCCTGTCCCTCTGGGCTATCGACACCCACACCCACCCAACCCACGCATCCACGCACGCACGCACGCACACACGCACGCACGCACACACACACACTTCTCTAAAGCTACAATGACTCAACTGCTTAGTAATGTTACTTGAGGTACTTCAATATTTCAAGGTTATTCTTCTTTATGCCTTACTTCATTTATTTGATATCTGTACTATATGTACTAAAGTAACTTTGCGGCTTCAGATTGTTAAAACACGACTTGTGACCTGAAGGGGAAACCTGGAACTCTGGAGAGTTCACATGTGAGTCAGAGGGCTGTCTTATATCTTTTATCTCATAGTCATTGTTTTTGTTGCCATTACGTTTCATTTTTGTAATTTTTGTTTCTTTGTATCCAACTTTCATGACTAATGTACACCCAATGGCTGTTATCTGTTCCTTTCCTGTTTTTCTCAATCACCTGCCCCTTTTTCTCTTTTGTTCTTATTACAACATCAATAAAGACAATGTTTAACAAAGAAGATAAGCAATGACCAAATTGCTTGACTGGGAAAGATAGTATTTAGTAAAATTCTCTTAAAGAAGAAAAGTATCAGATTAAATTATCTTAAAAACACCTTATGAATGCATCATTAATAGTTAACAACTTTTAAGGGCTCTAGTAGATTTGGAGTCTTAAAGAAATTGTATGTATCATAAAGTCCAACCCATACTCAATTTTGGGCAGGAACTAATACCCCCAATATTTTAACAACAACATTTTGTTTTAAAAATATCCTTCACATTTGATATGAAAAGAATTGTGACTAATACATTTATGGAGCATTTTATAGTTAAAAACTAATATTTTGTTTCAAAAGTGCTTTAAACATTTACTTTTTCCTTCCCTCTAACCTATACAACAATACCAAGACATCAGCAAGAGGCTCAACATTTACTGAACCCCAGATTCTTCCAGTAAGCATGTCTACAGTATAGTATGCAAGGATTAAAGTCGGCTAAATAACATGCAATGTAATGTAATCAACCACAAAGACACACACTGTGCTGTAGCATCAGTGTGAGAGGAACACACATTGTGACAAAGCCGGACCACACCCAGTACGTCTGACTCATCAGTCCTCTGGTGTCCAGCAGAAAGGCAAAAGCAGTCAGGGAGAGGAGGAAGAATCAAGGATGAAGATGGTCAGGAGACACACAGACAAACAGAGACAGAGTGCATTGTGGGAGGGACTCACCAGCTCCACAGACCCATAGTGTTTCCTGCTGAAGTCTCCACGCCTGCAGCCCAAGTCCTCCGAGGCAGAGCTGCAACACAAACACACAGTCACACACATGGCCTGCGTCTCCTCCATCACACACACATCAACTGTTGCATCTGCTTTTATGTCATGTCTCTCTTCCCCTTTTCTTTCTCTTAGCCTTCCTCCTGCCTTAGTGTGTGTCAGTGTGGTGGAGCCGCTGGAGGCCAGCCCAGCTCCTGATTGAGACTAGGTCCAGATTCAATTAGGCCTCAGTGATAGATGGAGACTGTCTGAGAGAGCGGACTGCTGGTCAAATCACCAAAAGCGCACGCAGAGTAGATTCATAATGCTTAGAAAGACACTAAACACATATCAGACACAAGTAAAGGTTGCAAATATCTCTGATTGTAACATGAACAGCAGCAGGATTTAGACGTTTTGAGATTTTTTTGAAGTTTATGAGACAGACACTAAAAGCCACTTTACACGAGACAGTTTGTACCAAATATAAGAAACACAGCCTCAAGTGTACTGCTGTAGTGAACAAAGTCCTCGTACCACACTGTATAATACTCTGGTACGAGTGATAGACTTGTATTAAGTTAACAAGTAAACGCGCAATCAGGAAAATGTATTGGATAAGCTAAATTATCTCAATGCAAATGCAATGACCCGGTGGCTGTTATACTATTACATTATAGATTATTATTGCTCATGTGTAAATATAAAACACTATGCATGTATTATTACATTTTCCATAAAATGTACTAATGCAATCTGTAATAATTGATTTAATAATGCAAGGATATGTACAGTATGTCATATTTCATGCAGGCTGTTTATTAAAACATACGGTTTATATTACATAATAAACTCTTGCATTTTGTTCTAAACACTGCCATTTGAATAATTCATTTCAAAATGCAGGGAAATTAATTAAATATTGCATTCAGGCTATGGGTTTATTACATAATTTGTATTTCATTTTGTCTAGTTATTACATTAGATATTGTTACAGACCTGCATACCTTTTGCTCCCTGTCGCTCCGGACCTCCCCCTATATCTCCCCCCTCCTCCCCTCTCCGCTCAGGTTTCTCTCTGCAGAGTGCTGCTGATAATACATAATGTACACTCTAAGCTTAAGGGGATGCATTTTAAAGTGCGTCCATGCTACAGGAAGTATCCATCACTTTTTCCTCACCCACTTTCTTCCCCCTCCATCACATATTTTACCTTCATGTGCTCCCACTTTTTCTCCCTGCACCCATGTTGCAATCTTTCCTACCCTTCACCTTTCCTCAGAGAGCGGTCAGGAAGAGGATTGGTGTTGGGGAGATTAAGTGATAGCATCCCACCCACCTTCCTAATGACCCCTCCATCTCCCAGGGAAGCTCATCTTTTTAGAGGTATTTATTGATGGATGATTTCATTTAGGGCTGATAAAAAAAGGCAGTAGTGACACATAAAAGGGAATATATATAAAAAAACTCTTACGTTTTGTTATTTAAAGAATTGTGACCAATATATGCACGAAGCATCTTATACTGTATATAGTTTTAAACAAATATGGTGATCGGAAAGTCCACCAAAACATGAACATTTGACTTTCATCCAACCTAGACAACAGTACCAATAAATCAGCAAGATGCTAATCATCTAGTGAACCCCAGATTCTTCTTGTAGGCATGTCTAAATGATATATGCAAGGTGCTTTGGATAGAAGTCAGCTAAATAACATGCACTGTAATATAATCAACCACAAAGACAAACACTGTGCTGCAGCTTCACACCAGCAGCGCCAACACAAATATACTTTGGCTAGATCACTGTGAGCTTTGTAAATGGTATTTATGGATAGACATTTTAATTTAAGGCTGATTTAAAGGCAGTAGTGACAGATGAAATGAAATATTGAGGATTTTGTTTTGACATCTCTCGATTACATGACCCACAAAGGCTGATTTTAGAGATACCTTCAAGGGGACTGGGAAAAGACAGAATGTATATGCTCAGAGATCTCGTATTAATGGCCCATACAATGATTACCACAAACTGGCATAACCGATAACCCCCCCCCCAACCTTGGACCAATCGACACAAATAGTTAAGGTTGTTAACGGCATTGAAATATTCCAGCGAAACTACAACTTAAAATGGAAATCTATTCATTTAATTTATGTACCTGTTATATAGCAAATTGAACATAATGTAAACATTTCATTGGACACCTTGAACTAGTAAAATAATCCTTCCTTTGTTATATAAATGTTCAAAATGAATTGCGTCCCTCTTAAGGCTGTGGTTCAAGAGAGATGTCATAATAGTTGGATTGGAGCAAGTAAATGCTTGCATCAAAGCAGTCACAAAATAAAAAACCACAACACTTGGCTGTATAATTCCCAAAGGCAATGCCTAGCCTTATGCTTAAAAAAAAACATATTTTAGGACATGCAGGAGGGGGTGAACTCTGAGCCATTTGAGCACAAGGTGGTTTCTGTCAAAGCTGCTGACTAACATTAAAGGGTGGAACAAACCAAGCAGATAAAGAGCCTTCAGAGTGATGACGAGCATGCACCTGTCAACAGAGCTCAGGGAGTACAGTGGAGATGATGTGCAGATTCTGAGTAAAATGTGCGAGAGAAAACAAAGCAACAAAACATACACATAATCTACAGTGTGAACTTGTTCTCAACAGGAATTATTGCTACATAAACGTAAAGAAAGTAAGGATTGAGAATGATTCCAATGTCAAGTAAATGTACATTCCAAGATTTATTGTCATTGACAATTTTTTTTGCCAACAAATTATATCTTAAAGAGCACTGGTCTAATGGCTATGGCTAATTTCTAATCAGTCAGTTGGTCGATCTAGCAGTCCCAAAGTCCAGCCCAGGCTAAAACATCTCAACAATTATTGGATGCACTGCCATATTTGGTAGAGACACTCATGTTCTCCACATGATAACCTGTACTATGTTGGTGACCCCTTAATCTTGAAGCATGTCATGCTACTTGATGGGATGGTTTGTTACCAGATACCTGTACAGATAATTCCCATCAGCTTTAGATTACTTTGTAAATAAGCACATTTTAGAGATCCAACACACCAATACTTAGGAAGGAACCAAATACAGGCGGTGCTTTGCGTTACAATAGTTTTAAAAGCAGGACAACAAGAAGTATGCTGGTCAAACAGTTTAAAAAAAGCACGAGGTCTGAGCAACTGTTAAATCATGGCAGTGCAACATGGCTGACTCCATGCAAAAGATATGAAGAGCTTATTCTAATTTAACGAAAACACAAGTTCAGGGGGCAGGTAGTAGTTCGGGACTAATGTCTACAAGTCTTTTTTGTGCGTTTATGTATTTGAACTCTAACTGAATATCAACTACAAAGTGAAACAACCTGCATTGTTTGGACACACAAACTGTGCATCACAACGCTTCAGTCACTTTCTAGCAGGGAAATGTCTGTCAAGCAAAGACAAAAATTACTTTGAAAGCTTGAACAAAACAGAAATAGAAAATATGTAAAATGTATATTCATTACTGAACCGCTGCCCTCGGTGATGGAGAGCGGGAAAGGTTCCTGTCACAAGACAATGGAAAGTCGCTACTGAAAGGCTCCGTACAGGGAAATGTGAGGAATAAATCCCACTGCTACTGATCATACTCAACCTCACAGTGCTGCTCAAGTAAAGAAAAGCCAATCCTTTTTATCCGTTAAGTTCAATAAGACTCTTTAAACTCTCAAAGCATTCAATATAGTTGCTCTTTTTGAGACTGCATTAGAAAGAAAAGCAAATACACCAGAAGACCTTGGTGCTTAGAGCTGAAGAAGCTAACTCAAGACTCTTGAGACAGACAATAAAACCTTTAAAAAGAGCCAACATTCAGAATATATCCCAGCCAACAGCTTTTCTGACTCATACATCCACAACTGGCAAATACATGTAACAATTAGAGATGTCCCGATCCTGATCGGGGATCACGTGATTTTCAAAAGATCGGAATCGGGAGAAAAAAAATCGGGGATCGGGATTTCTTTTAATTTTATTTAATGTTACAAAACCAAAATGACCATGTTCACGTCTTAAAGTCATCCTGAGGCCTTAGTTTTGGTTTAAAATGACACAACATCATGTATGTGTTGCTTCTTTTGGGCTTGTTTTCAGACCTGGTTGCTTATTTCTCTCAAATCTGGCAACAGAGTGGGCGCAGTGTCTAATAGTAGCAGTAAGCTAACGAGAGGCTACGTTCAGCTGGTGACTCGGGAGTCGGGACAGAGAAAATGTCAGGAGTTTGGAAGTATTATAAAATTGAAAGCGAAGGCAGTGTAACAGCCAGATGAAATGTTTGCAAGAAGGAGGTTCCGCGTGGTGGAAAGAACAGAGCTACGTTCAACACGACCAATCTAATACGCCACCTGAGAAACAAACACCAACAACAACACGACGAGGACACAGCGGCCACTCAGGTAACGGCCACTCAGGTAACGGCACTGAAACAACCGACACTTTCAGAGACTTTTAAGAGGAAAGAGAAACTGCCCCAGAACAGTGAAAAGGCCAAACAAATAACAGCCAAGATAGCTGAATTCATCGCGTTGGATGACCAGCTGTGATCTGTTACCTTTTTTTTTCTCTTAATGCATTGCATAAAGATCGGATCGGGAAAAATCGGTATCGGCAGATTGTCAAAATCAAATGATTGGAATCGGATCGGGATCAAAAAAAGGTGATCGGGACGTAACAATCTAAATAATTCAAACTTCACTCAACCGTTTCTGCAGCACATTTTAGGAAATACTGCACATATTTGGAAACATTGGTACATTTTTGACAGATTTGTTTTAATCAACAGATCTGTCAAAATATGAGTTTCTTTGCAAAAGATTATACTAAAGCACCACTTCAAATATTGTGTTTACCACAGATATGCTGAGACGATTCTTAGAAATAACTAATTCAGCCTACTTGATACAAAATTGACTTATCAACTCATTCTCAAACGTCCAATCAACCAACCTATTGACAAAGAAGGAGCAGCCCCACAATGCAGATT